GGCAAGCTACTGCCTCCCGCTCCTGTCTGCCCTCAAGGTAGGGTGTTTTCTTTCAGGAGCACTCTGATGGGCACATTTATATTAAGAAACACTCTGATGGGCACATTTATAATAAGGGGCACTCTGATGGGCACATTTTATGTTAAAGGATAATGCTGATGGGCGCATTTAATGTTATGGGGTATTCTGATGGGCACAACATAGAATGTGCCTGTCAGAGTGCCCCTTAGAATAAAATGTGCCCCCAGGGTATGTAAACTTTTGATCCGGGCCATTTGGGTGATTTCTGTTATCGTTATGATTTAAAAAGGGAGCAAACAACTATTTGATAATAAATGGCTTTCATATGATCATCATCCTTCAATAAAAGAGCATTTTTTGGCATGATCAGTCATATTTTCAATATCAATGCCAAAATTTCACAATTTCTGCCAGGGTATGTAAACTTTTGAGCACAACTGTATATGACTCTTTTTTTCCTAGTATCTCATTGCCAAATAGATTTTAACTAGAGTCATTAAAAGGTTATCTCTGATGATTCAATGAGAGCTAATCCTGTCCTTCTCCTATACAAGCCACAGCAACAGACGCTACTACCTAGGCTGCCATCTCACTCTTCTGATTGGCTGCTCTTAATTCTAGTCCAAGAATAAGCTGGCCAAGAAGAATAAGCCTTCTATGTGATCTATGCTGACAAGCAACATTTATCATTCAATGTATTAGAAGTGAGCAGCACAGACAGATAATTTTTATTGGCATTAATGTTAGATAGGCATGTGGCTCTCCTGCTGAAGGAAAAGTAGGTGAAGTTGTTAACTGGCTAAATTTAGTGATTTGATTCAGTCCTTCAACAGCTAGAATCCCGTTTGAAGTATAAAACTAGATAGAAATAGGGGAGGATTTTGAAAAACTCTGCTTAAGTATCACATCACATATCATTAGCATTGCCATTACAGCTGTGCTGTGCGGTATTTATTAGATTAGACTGCACACATTACAGTATGTGACACAGTTCCCTGTTGATCTGAAATTATATTTGGTTGGAATTATTATCAGAGTCTCAGCGTGATCTACAGCAGGTGATTGTTTTGTTGTATAAGTACACTTTACATGCAAGTTTATTTCCCAAACACTAATACTGCACACACAGAGGCTCTATAATATAGTAGCTAGTAGACTCTGTCATACTCTCAGTACCTTGGTAATAATTTACTCCTAATTTACCTTGATTATGCATGTGTCTGTATATGGCTGGTAGTGATCAATGATACGAATTAAGAGTTTTCATTGGTGAAAACAATGATAAGAGGTTTTTGACTGCTTTCCTCATTTAACACAGAGATAAACAGTGGTTTTACCATCACAGTTAATAAAACCAGCCATGTTAACTACAGTTCAGTAGACGTCCCTCCATGTTTTAGACAGGTGGTGATCCTTCAAATATACCATAGCATTGGGCTTATAAATAAAGCAGTTCACAAAAAGAACAGTGATGATATATGAAGTGCAGCGGCCCATGGCAAATTTCTTCTTTATCAGAGTAGACCCATCAGACCAATTATTGGCTGACATGCTGGGTTTTTTATATAGAACTGCAGTCATGTGAAAAATTAAGAACACACTGTGGAAATGGTTGCCTTTTTCAACAAATCTTACCAGGCAAAAATTAGATCTTAATTTAAATCTTGGCTACAGATAAAGATGATATAATTACATAAAAAAAACACAATATTTTGCATTTTCATTCATTGTATGCAATTGTATTTAATTGTCCATCAGTCTCATCAACATTCTGACCACTTTGCATTGCAAAATGCCCTCATTTGAAAGATGATTGTAGGTTTCCTTGCATGCATTGCCCCTTTCAAAACCCCCATTCAAATGTTCAATGGTAATCAAATCAGCACTTTGAGTAGGGCGGTCCATAACCCTCAGTTTTTGTTTTTTTATTATTATTTTTGAGCCATTAGCTTGTTGAAATATCCATTTATAGTCCACATTCATCTTTTGGGCATAAAATTCTTGTCAAACACGCCTTGATATGATGCAGAATGTATGACCTGATGGTTGCAAGTTGCCAGGCCTTGAGGCAGCAAAGCAACTGCAAACCATAACATATCTACCACCATGCTTCACAGTTGTTATGAGAGCTTCTTTTGAAATGCCTTGAGGAAGCAAAGCAACTGCAAGCCATAGCATATCCACCATCATGCTATACAGTTGTTGAGGGCTTCTTTTGAAACACTGTCTTCAGTTTGAGGAAAACATGTCTGTCTACTGTTACTAAGACCAAGAAAGTCTATCTTTTAATGGACAGTCTTCAGCACGTTGTTCCAGAAAGCTTGGTCTTTGCCTATATGATCAATAGCAAACTGTAATGTTGTTCTTTTTAGACATTAGGGGTTCATTTGCTGCAATCAGTGTAATTGGTGCAATCTCTTTTTTTGATTGTAAAGGCAGGCTCTTTGACTCCAACTGTAGAAGACTTACATGAACCCCTCCGCCAATAATTCAACATTCACAGTGCTGGGAGGAAAAAAATTTTGGAATTTTGAAACGTCATTGCATTGTTGGAGGGTTATACAAAAGTATCTCCAAAAGCTTTGATGCCTCAGGGCCTGGTCCACGGTTGACAGATTGTCTACAAATGGGAAAAGTTTCCTACTTTACTCTCCCTGGGCCCTGGGCAAAAACGCGTAGACTACATTTGGGATGACACCACGGAGAGCGAAGCCATTGCTGTCCAAAAAAGAATATTGCAGTACGGAAGTTTGTCCACGTGGGTGATCCACAGCAACTGGCAAAATATTGTTGCAAAGAGTCTAACATCAAATGGTCAACTCTTAGGCCTGGAGCAGCCTTGGACACATTAGCAGGAATTTAAAATTTAAGCAAATTATAGATTATATTCCTTAAAGTGGAAAGATTGATTTCAAAAAATTTGTCAATCTTTTATATCCCTTTGCTAAACTCATAGGCATCCACAACTTTCTTTCTCAGGTTCTTAGAAAAATACTATTGATCTTGGCATGATGACACCATACACATCCATAGCAAAGAGAATGGCAGACCCAAGATGTCTGGGACTCCACCTGCATACTCCCTATATAGGTTCTAATCACTTGCATCTAATCTTGAATACCACATTCTAACTTAATGTATTGGAAGTAGTTATAAATGTAGGAGTGCACTTAACTTCTCTATATAACAAATCTCCATTTTCATTCATTTAGATCATAAAAATCAATATAGCATGGGAATTTTATGTGTGTGTGTTTTATTTGAATCAAGATCTAATGTTGCCCAGTTCAAATATGTTGAAAAAGTTAACAATGTACATGGGGTGTACCTACATTTGCACATGACTATATATACAACGGCCTTTATCTTGCAATGCTGCACATTTCCTGAGCTTTATCCCTCTGAAGACCCTTCAAGTATAGGAAAATTCCAGCTGATCTGCCAGACATGCACTCTGCTCTTAAGCCTTGCTGTAGGATGGCAAAACATTTTTGTGAACAGAATAGTGTCAGCCCTCACAGTCTCTTTTCAACTACCTATCACTCTGTCCCTCAGATCTCTACAATGTTAAGCCCTGGTGCCCAACCTGACTTTTATTCATTAAAAAAAAAGGTTAAACTTACCTGCTCTATGCAATAATATTGAACAGAAAGGTAAATTTCCTCCTCTTCTTGCAATCCACACCGGCACTGTCAGCTATACTCCCTCCTTCGGGTGCCTAATGTAGCAAGCATGGTACCAAGGAGGCATCTGTGATCTTGTTGGATCCTGAGCTGGGCTGTGTGTTTCCAAAGACACATGCAACATTAGTAAGCTACACCATAACTACCTCATCACAGGATCCTATGGCTCTGCTGCCGTCAGTTTCTCCTGTGAAAGCAGGAAGTGAAGGGAGTAGCGCTGGAGCCACAGACAACGTTGGAGCGTTGACATGGAGCCAAGTTTAAAGGGGTAGAGAGGGGTAGGACAGGTAGTGGGGCATTTTTAACCTTGAACTTTTTTTGATGACTGGCTGCATATATGTGGCCCCTTGGAGGCTGGGCTTTATTGCTGAGCAGCTGGATATATGCACCAATATGTAAACAGTTTACTTTGCTGAGAGCGCACTCCCTGCCCAGCACAGTAACTAAAGTGAAACCAGGAAGCTCCTGATGCATACTTACGATGGTAGCTTCCTGATCACGTGACTCATATGACAGCCAATCACAGTAGTCACATGATTGGAATGTCTGCTTCCACCTCCTGGAGGCAGCTTCAGGGAAGGGGTTAATGCAGAAATTGCATTAACCACTTGCCCTCCAGAGGATTTACCCCCCTTCCTGACCAGGCCATTTTTTGTGTTACGGCACTGTGTTACTTTAACTGCATAGTCATGCAATGCTGCACCCAAATGAAATTTACTTCCTTTTTTCCCACAAATTGAGCTTTCATTCGGTGGTATTTGATCACCTGTGCATTTTTTATTTTTTGTGCTATAAAAAATATATATATTTTTGACATTTTGCTTTTAAACATGTCCAGTAAAAAAAAATTTTTAAAATCAAATTTCATCATAAATATAGGGCAAAATGTATTCTGCTACATGTCTTTGCTAAAAAAAACATCCCAATACATGTAAATTAAATGGTTTACATGAAAGTTAAAGCATTTACAAATGGCGGTATAGATACTGGAATTTTTATTTTTACTAGTAATGATGGCGATCAGCGACTTATAGAGGGACTGCGGCGGGCATTCTGACACTAGGGGGAACTGACTTGGTGTCACTGACATCCCCAGTGACACCAATGCAGTGATCAGTGCTAAAAAAAAAGCACTGACACTGTACTAATGGCACTGGGCAGGAAGAGGTTAACATGAGGGCCAATCAAAGGGTTAACTGTGTGTTGGGAGTGTTTTACATAGGGGGCTGTGTCTGTGTGCTTCACTGTAAGTGCACTTCTTTGGATGGCTGTGCTGTGCTTGAGCACACCCCCTACCTGGAAATGCAAAATCACACATATATATATATATATATATATATATATATATATACATGTGATTTTGCGCACCTGTGCCGCCCTGTAGCAGTATTTCTGCTATAGGGGCAGGTGGGAAGCGGTTAAGGTAAAACAAATTTAGACCTTAACACCACTGTTAATGGCAGTATGTCCATGGAAAAAAATTTACAACAGATAACTGTATACGGTGTAGCATGATGCCAAACATACTTAAAAATCAGGGACACAGAATAGAACAGCAAAGGCCTCAGGCACCATTTTAATAGAGCAGGGAGACTGTCTTACAATGTAGTGTATATATTTGTTTAAACCATATTTTCAGTAAAGATATAGCAATATAAAATGTTTTGTGAATATAGGAATGGGTGTGTTAATTATTAAATTACACTTATGTTCTTGTTTGACTGATTAGGTAAAGATCTGACTACATTTTATGTTCCATTTATGGTGATATTCAGACAGTTTTTAAGGGTTAATAAATATTTATTGTAACCACAAAATCTAGAGGACATTAAGAAGGGAAATGGATTTTTCTATTTTTAACTTCAAAAATCAGTCATATTGCTCAAAACAGCTATATATGTTTAGTCAAACCTGTAATTTCTCTCACAGATAATGTGACATGGGCATTTTGCAAAGTTTTTAAGGACATTATTTTTTTTTAGATTAGTTCAGTAGTTTGATGTTTGCATCCCCAAATTAAAAAAAAGTGTGTTCTCCTCTTTCCCAACTTTAGGCTAGGTTCACACCTATGCAGTTTGTGTTTGATCAGTTTCTGCAGTGCTTTTTGCGGTGCGTTTTTGCACTTGTGTTTTGCATTTTTTTTCCAACTTGTTGCTGGGTAGATTAAAATGCAAAATGCATCAAAAACGTGTAAAAAACGCATAAAAAATGCACTACATGCATTTTTGCAGCGTCTCTATCAAAGTCTATTGAACCAAAAATACAACGTTTTACGTTTAAAAAAGTCTCTGACCCTTTCCAAAAAACGAACCGGGTGAAAATACAGAGATGTGAATGTGTCCCATAGGAAATCATGTTAAATGGACTGTAGCGCATTTCTGCAAAATGCAAAACATACCCCAAAACCTAGAATCTAGACACATTACCGTTAGCCTTAGTTGCTATCTGCTGACAGGCCACAAGCTCTTATCCCATAGCAGGATGACCAGCAAATGTAAGACCACTGTGCTGAGTTCATGCCAGGCCTTATACACCTAGAAAAATAGACGCTGCTCATTTTGCAGAGGGCACGTCTACAATTCACAGTCAAGTAGGAGGTACAGGAATCTGTTGTTAAATGGAGAGAATTTACAACTCCCTGACCATAGAAAAAATGTTTTAGATCCCTTACCTATTGACTAAGCCACAAGAAAACAGTTACAAAGATACATTCACACATTTAAAAGGTAATTAAAAATAAAAGCTATCTTTGCTTATTACCCTAATAAAGTTAGTTCAAAAATAAATTTAATAGCCCCTAATATTTGAGATTCTTTATTATATCATTTGCCAATAAAAAAAATCAATTTACATAAAATATTGGAGGAGGGTAGAAATCCACCTCTGCAACAGGAGTCTCTATAGTAAGTGCTGCTTGTTCATCAGTGTATAAAAAAGCTGTGTTGCGATTGGTTGATCACAGCATATTGATGCTTTGCATTGCAATCTCCCAATGCAGTTGTTCTTGGCATGGGACTTCAGTTCCAAAAACAAGTAGATTCAAATTTATACACACATGTCCCAAACCTATAACCTAAAGAAAATACTTTTTTTTTGTTAAAATAAGAAATGATTAAACCCCATGTTGGGTTTCTTTCCATCTGTGTATTATTGTAATGGTTTCACTTCCTTTCCAGTACTTTTGATGTAACAGGATGTGAAAGGATATCCTCCTAATAAAGGAAACCCCCCTCAGCTGTTTGTGATTTATGAATTTGACAAAGATCTTTTCATCCCTTTTTGAGTCACCTTTGTATGTGTGTACCCAGCTTGGATTCCACAATGGACTGTATGGAGGTTGAGCTGGCTCTCTTTTGTTGTCTAAGGCAGCCCTTCTCAACCAGGGTACAAGTCAAAGTGTGGAACAAGCCTGCCTTATAGTTACACAAAGCCACAGGTTTTCATTGTGCACCATTACAACCTTCTAGCCTCCAGCGTCCTGACAACTAATTACATCATCAGTTTATAAGGAGGATGTCAGTTGCTTGCACATCATCCTTGTTTTCCCCTCCCCTGCCCCTCTCAGTCAGTGCTGGGGTCACATTAGCTCAGTGATGGAGAAAAACTGAGGAAGAAGATAAACACTGGAATACTACTCAGTATCAGGATGCAAAAGTGTATTTGCTTTGGAAGAAAAACTCACCTCTAATGTTGGGTGTCCTACATGTGTGGATGTTGCTGCGTTATATAAAACTATTAGAATAGTTTTCACATTTTAGAATGGGGTGCCCTTTTAAAATTATGGACAGTCTAGAGGCACTACATTTTAGAATGTGGTGCCTCACGACTTCAAAGGGTGCCTCGAGACTGTCCATAATTTTAAAGGGTGCCTTGACTGAAAAAAGGTTGAGAAACACTGGTCTAAGGAGATTCCCTTCTCAGACAGTTGTCACTGGAACAAGTGTCCCCACTAGAAGATTTCTACTCTATACCTGTTGTGGTGGCAATTTAATATTTTGGCTTTTCTCTAACCCAGTGATAGTGGTTACGGGACACATATAGAGGGTAAATCTCCCTAACAGAGACATAGGCTGCAATAAAAAATTGAGGTTTTTACTTTTTGCATATGCTTTACTGTGGGAATTGGATGCATGTTGATCTAAAATCTATTCTAATGTCCTATTCCCGTCTGCGATACGGGAGAAACATATATGAAGATGTGCACGGACTGCGATCCGTATCTGTCTATGATCTGTTTTGTCTTTCTTACTTCAAAAACTTTTTTTGAGGTTTTAACCCTTCACCACTTTATCTAAAAAAACCTAAAAACAATTTTCGCTTTTGATGCAATTTAACTTTATCTCTTTACCTAACCGTAAAGCAATCATGAAAATATTTACATTATCCAGTACTTCCAACACAGGCATCTCAAGGTGCCTATATATCAAATCTGTTTTCAATCCAAGCACCCAAGTGCCCAAAATCCCCAGGATTTGCTAGATCATTTCTAGATTGATGTATTATCAAGCTACCCACACCCCAATGCCTAAACCTTTCTATTAGCCTGAGAGGCTGCCCATCAAAGCAATAAATCAATAGTGAGAGTTTAGTGGTAGGAAGGAGCAGGGCCAGGATCTCATCCTAGAAAGTATTTGCACTTTGCAATCTAGGATACAGCAGCTGGATTACGTGAGCACCCTAACTCTTGAAATCTACCCCCTAACTCTAACCATAATTTAATTTTAACTACTCCCTAACACTAGATTAAACCCCGTAATTTTTAATTATCTTATTTATGCCAGTATTTTACAATCCAGTGGTTAGGAAAGTGGTTTAACATTACAGAAAGCTCTAGCCAAATGATGTTGACTAAGCTTGGCAAATGTTTTTCCTATTCTACTTTGAAAGCAAGCTAGTTTAGTTTTGAAAGGGATAGGAAAGGATTAAAATTTCTCTTAGGTGTTTATTGCTGTCTAAGATGTCCCTCTCTTTTTATCTCTGTAGCACTAAAACAATGAGAAAATCAGGGGTTACCAGGACACAAGGGCAGTGAAAAGAATAGAAACCTCACAGATGTTCCAACTTTTTTTCCCCCACATTACTAAATATGTCTTTGTTGCTCTTACTTTAGCTGCCAGTTGGGAATCAGGTCCTTTACCCTCCTTCCCTGTTACCTACCCCAGACTATCCTGCTTGCTTTTTTTTTTAAGCTTTATAGAAAAAATAGTTCCAAACAATATACCTATTAATGTTTGTAGTCTACCCTTACATATTATACATATTTTTTAAAAAATAGATAAGGCTTTCATTTGTTATCAAATTTGGATTTTTTTTTTTTACTTTCAATTGTTTTTTATTTCAAATTTGAAAGAAAATAAAATATATAAAAGTTTTGCATTAGCAGGAAGTTCAATATCGACAACTGGATAACAACAGATTACATGAAATGTTCAGTTTCCATGAGGTGTCCAGTCCAACTTATTAGGAGAGTTAAGCAAAAGTCCGTATACTGTATCATTGATATACCTCTCTTACTGTTGTGCACCATTTCTCATAGGAAGTGGAAACAACATGTTGTGAGGGATCAGTCCATAACATTTGTAGGTAATGAGATATTTGGTGGAATCTAAACATTTCAGATTTTGGCATGGATACATATATTTTTGCTGCCCTGGTTTTTATTGCGAATAAATAGTGGAGAATTTACAAGGCATTTTCTGAAATTTCTTCCAACATAACAAATAACTTAGCTAACATTGGGCTTATATCCCAGCTGAATTTTTGTTTGTGAACAGTGAAAGACATTCACTTAGAAATAAAACCAGCATATATTTTTCCTTAAAATAACTCATGTGATATTTTTCTTAAAAAGTAGACCATTGACTTAAAAACATGCGTTATTTAAAGAAAGTGTTAAATAGTTATATTTTGGAATATTTAGCTTACCATAAATTCAGTATTTTACTTTGATGAATTGACTCTTTTATTAACTTTTATTATCACATTGCATGTGATATCTGTTAGTAAATTGACCTTAAGGTGGGAACCTATAGAGTTTATTTGCAACCTTTCTTTCATACTCAAGTCATTTTTATGTAAGTTTGCCTTTGGGAACATGTTACATGTTCCATCTGTTTTTAGGGGGTGGAACAAGTAACATGTCCCCAATGCTGCAGCTGCTACCCAATCAATGTCAGGCTCCTGCAGATTCTCATTACACTGTCTGCTTATACCTCCCGTACAGGCAGGCAGTTGTTGAAGTCCAGGAAGAAAAATAAACTATTAGAGCACTCACCAGCGCTCTCGCAGTTCATTGAGAACTACAAGCCAACTG